CAAGGATAAGTTATAATGAAATTGACGATGATAGCGATACCCGGTTGAGTGTCCACTGCATCAATGCGTAAGTTACGCGCTTTGAAGATATTTACTGTCAAGCGTTGGGCTTTCGAAAGATACGTTATCGACGATAAAATTTCACCAAAAAATCCCTTCAGAAAACAAAAAAAAGGTAAGTCTTCTTAGTTAGAAGTTTGCTGTTTACTCCAAAAAAAGAAATGAAATGAAAATTGCATTTTCAAAATAAGTGGGAATCAACTAACTCGACTTTCATCACTGAATGGTAACACTTCGGCCCAAAAAGTTGTAACGCTATCCTTTGACGAACTAATAGAAACTCTACCAAGATTTAACCAACAATACCCAATACACTCATCAACAGAAAACTGGTCATAGTCATAGACCATAATCTCTAAACGGCATTGATCCAGCAATGCAGTTGGTACCTGAAGATTAGTCTCCTTCAGCAAAGCTAACTTAATGGAGGTACAAAAAAGCAATTCAGTTATATGTTACAACTCTTGTAATATGTTGGAATTTAGACAAATAAGTGTTAGGTCCTAAAAAGCCAACAAATGGTGAAAAAAACATTAAAGATATGGTTAAGTGTTATTACTTGAAAACAGAAATCTTCATTTAAAATCGGTGAAGATGTATTTTTGTAAACTTTCGATTGTAGCCTCATTTCGTTACGATCTTCACTACCAGCACATGGAACATCAAGCATTACTCGAAAATACGGGTTTGGATGACCATCCTTCAAACAAAACTGTCTATAAGCTTCTCTAACATGGTATTATTTTTGACAGATCGAGAATAAGAATAGGTCTTCAGAAAAAAAAAATACTTGCTAATAATAAATTATAAAGTTATTAAAATTGACTCTTTGACCTCTCTTTTCGCACTCAAATCTGATGCCTCTACGAGTCTAACAGTTAATAGGTTAAAATTTTCATCTTTAGATATGCTAATTTTAACCGATCCACAATTCCCCATCGATTCACTATCGCAACTCGTCTCCGAATCAGTCATCTGAACGACATCTGATATCATTTTTATGTTTTTTAAATTTTATACCCAACTGCAGTGATAGTAAAATTATTATTAATAATAAAGAAATACAACAATCACAGTGATAATAATAGTAATGATGACAAGAACAAAAATGAAAATAAAGCAAAAAATTTGAATTATAATTCTTACAAATGTAAGATAAAGACCGCGATCAAATTGACTACTTTGTGGATTCTTAAACATTGATGACGTGTTGGTCTGTGCTCTTGGGACAGTGAACATTTCACTCAGATCACCCGGAGGTAAAGAACTTTCTAAAAATATAGAAAAATAAAGCTTTTTTGTATCCATCTATAAAGTGCTTTTTGGCAAAGGAATTTGCTGTGATTTGGTGATATATGTCAACTCTTCAACGGCGTAAAAAAGACAAAAAAACCCGAATAGTCGAAGATAAAAATAAACATCGAATTGTACAGAAATCTTTATAAAGTTTAAAAAAAAGTTTAAACCAAAATTTTGGTCAATTTATTAACGTAAAGTGAAAAAAAAAAACATTTAAAAGGATTTCCTAACACTAAGCAATTTATGCCTGCAATACTTTTTTTTTAACCGTTTATTAGAAAGCAACTTATAGCGGATAAGCAAAAATATTCAACTGTGTAAATCTACGTCAAAATAAATAAAGCAAAAGATTTAGACATCTAATTCTAAAGTTGAAATACGGTTAAAGTTACACTCTATATTATCCTTATACATACAGTATTATATCTATTCATCAAAACAATACACTTACCACTTTTATAAATATTCATTATTCGAGACTGTCTTCGAAGTACATCTCTGCCGCTGTAACTAGAAAAAAATTAAATTTTTAGTGATGTATAAATGTAGTTTTTTTTACTCTGATCACTTTAATGGAACAAAGATACATCTATTGTACATATGTATGCATATTTGCTTTTGTACAATCACTCATTCTTCTGTTTTTTTTTTACTCTTTTTATAGTTTTGCTTATCAATACAGCAAACCTACATAATGGCTAACAGTAACTGCCAGAAAATATATTGCGCTAATTATTTGGTTATAAGCTTAACAAAAAAAAAATGTAGCCTGTTTAAATCAGCAGATTAAAAAAGTTTATATTTTATCTAAAAAAAAAATCAAAATCAGTTTTGACCAGAAATCAGGAGCTCAATTGAATTGTCTTATTCTTTCACCGTATCAAACGCATCGTCATAACAATTCCTTTATATTGTCTAATAACCGACACTAATAATTGGTAAATTGTTTTTATTTTAAAACTAAGAAAGGAAAAAAAAAAACAGAGCATACAGTACTGTTGAAGGCAGTTAAGCCTGTAAAACAGATGATTGAAGTTGGTCAAAAGTGATCATTGATCAAAGCGTGTACCATTATTCAATAAGTTTTTTTTTTTCCCTTAGAGTCTTTAAAACTGTAGTTTAGTCTTGAGACAAAATTTTTCTTCTTTTATCGGCATTAAATTAACTATAGTCTACTTACTACATTATTCTCCTAATTCTGCACTGCAGAACAGCAATGAAATGACAATGATAAACTGTGCGTATTAATTGGTATCTTCAAAAAGCAGTGTTCAGTGTAAATCAGAAATTGTGTTAAGAAATCAGTTAACAAATTTAATTTGGTCTGAAATATCTAAAAAAAAAAAGATTAAGCATCAAAAAAATCAAGTTTTTTCTTCCTCTTTTACAATTATAAGAGAGCAATATAATTCGAACAATTTTTTTTTACTTTAGTTAACTATATTTGGACTTCACTAAGGGGCACATAAAACCCAGCGGTCTTTTTTTAATCGACGAAAACGGCAAAAAAATAAGAAAAAGCAAAATTTTATTTTAAATTTACCTTTTTTTTTTCTATTTAACTAAACATATTAAATCATGATTTATTTTACATTTTTTTTTACTTTACAGCAAATATAACAGATTATTGGTCGGCATAACTTTTGCTTCTTTATTTAGATTTGATTAATTGATGAAAAGAAAACTTAATAAAAATAAATGCATTAAAAAGTGGATTAAAAGAGAAAAATTTATTTAAAATTTTTATTTAGTTTATTGTTTGCCAATTAAATTTACAGATACCTGAAAAATATTAG